GGGTTGCGGCTGGAAGGGCATCCACTGCGTAAAAACGTGCTGGATAAGTTGGCGGTTCATTCCGCTGTGGGGACCCCGGATTAATAAAGGGACTAAGCCAACAAGAAAATGAAAAAATTAATGAATTCTGTAGAAAAACAGCTCATTACCAGAATTTAGAAAAATAATTTACATAGCCAACATACACAAATTATTGTTTGAAATGGCTGAAAATATTGATTAAAGTTAAACGAACACTCCACTTTTTTGGAAATAGGCTCATTTTACAACTCCATAGTTTTTTGAATACATTCTGCTGATCTCCAGGTCTGTCGGGAGTAATTTTAGCTTAGCTTAGCATAGATCATTGAATCAGATTAGATCATTAGCATCTCACACAATTGTGTAGAGTTTTAGAAATGTTCCTATTTAAAGCTTGACTCTTCTGTAGTTATATCATGATGCTTCTAGGGACTGTGTAGCGCCATTGTTGTGATCCAAGCCCTGTGAAGAGATGATGCCAAACATAGAGGACTTCTAAAGGTATCTATAATCCTGGACCAGGACGTATTCTGAGCAGATGCTGTGGCGGTTATATAGGAGTGGAGAGCATGAGACTGATTACTAAAATACCCCAGTGACAGACGAATCTCCGCATTGATCCCGTGGGCCAGCCTGAACATTCACCGATGACCTACTTACACCCGCAGCTTCTCCACGATGGACATCCAGCTTTCCCCAGCCTCCAGCACCTAGACTGCAGCTCTGTCTGCACAAGAAGTTTGGCCAGAGGAGAAATGGTCATTCCTAACTGAGCCTGGTCTCTCTCAAGGTTTTTTTTTCTTTCACTTGGTGAAGTTTGTTCTATCGCCACTGACTAGCTTGGTTTGAGACTTGTGTTTCTGCACTTCGATGGATTTGTTCTTCAGTGTTTAGTCTTTCAGTAGTAAAATTTAAACTGAACTGAACTAAACTGAACTTCAACTCTGAAAACTGGACTGACACGATTTCAATCCACTAGAACTTCTATGTTAAGCTGCTTTGACACAATCTACAATGTAAACGCGCTGCAGAAATGAAGATGAATTAAATTGAATGCTACTGATCTAATCCAATTCAAGGATTTAAGCTAAGCTAGGCTAAAAGTTCTCTCACCAGAGTCAGAGATTGGCTGAATTGATTTAAAAAAATGGTAAAACTCAAATGTATAACTCTATGAGAGTTGTAAAATGAGTTTACTTCCAGTAAACCTGGAGTGTTCCTTTAACCCTTCGTTAAATCTTAAATGGATACCTTAGGTATTTAGCAATCCATGACGTTGTTTATTACCATCTCCCTCCCTATTTTTTAATAATTATTATATATTTTCATTTTAAACATTATTTTCTAAAGTAGGTTAGACGTACATCTTTTTAGTGTTCCTCAATCTATTCATTATTAAACAATATAAGCAAACAATAGAAAGCACAACAATACTAATACAAATGTTTGTTTAATTCATTTGTTAGGTAAAACGTAAATATAAGTGGATTATATATATGTATATGTTAATTTAAACATTTCAGGATTTGAATTTTAAGTAAACACAGTCAGAAGCAGTAATTTACCTGTGGTTTGTAGTCGTTCAGTGTATACTACAGTAAGTCATGTGTTGCTATATATAAAACATTTATTTGACTACCGATGCCACAGGCAGCAAAACAAGCTTTGAAATGAATGTCTAGCACGCGTCGGTGAATTAAAACAATAGAGTTACACATTACAGTGGCAGTGTGTTGTTTGATGTAGATCCACAGCGATGCGTGCAGCTTAAGTTGTATTCTTTATCTGCCCACACTAACTCCTATGTGACTGAAGAGTTAAAAACAAGAAAATAAGGGAAGACATATCAATATTATTCAGACTGGGTGTGATGCTAAATTTCCTGGATTCTGTGGATGAAAAGATATCCGAATGAAAGCTATGATTTGCACTCATGGAAATTGACCTGTAGCCTCTGACTTTTTAATATTTGAATATAGCTTTTAATATTGTTGGTAATGGATTACAAGTTGTTATATTTCATTTTTTATACATGCAAAGTTGTATCTCTTGTGTTGTTGTTCATTTGCTTTTATGTGTTATATTTTTGCGTTTTGTTTTCTATTTTTATTTAATTGTTTTCTTTCTGTTTAGTAATTACTTAATTTGTGTTTTGATTGTTTTTTATTTGAAATGTTGTTGTTGCTTTATTGTTTTTATTTTTTATTTTATTTAAATTTTATTTTTGTTTTGTTTTTGCATTGCCTTTATTATTGTGTATTCATTCATTCATGCTTTTTTTCTGTGTTTTGTTGTGTTTTGAATTGTTTTCTTTTAGCTTTATTTAGTTTTGCTTATTTTAGATTTTGTGTTTTTCTTTTAGTTTTGTTTTAATTTACCTTTACTTTTGTATTCTGGGCTTTTGTGTTTTTTTCGTTTTATTATGTTCATATAAATATCAGACCCCCTAGGTTTTTTTTTTGTGTGTGTGTGTCATTTTTTTGCTATAAAAATGACTGATTTTGTGGTCGTAATTCTCAGAAATTTGCTGAAAACTTTGCGATAACAAAAATAAAGCTTCTTTATTTTGGTCTTTTGTCAAGACAAGATCTAAAAAGGTTGTATAACTCTTATTTTTATCCACGATCTTACTTTCTCCTTCTAAGATTTCACTTATCAATTTGACTTAATACCAGCCATAAAAATAATGTCCTTCAATTCGGTCACATCCAGCAGCCGTCATCCTTGAACCAATCTCCATCATTGTAAGCTGCTTGTTTTTCTGTTTGTGCTATTGCTTCATTTGTTAGATGTTTGCTTACATTTTCTTGTGCAGTCTAAAGCGTGTCAAACACTATAAGTCATGTAAAACAATAAATTGCAAACTGAAAAAAAATGTAATTTGATTATGTGGGTTGGAATTTGATGTTTTATGAGATTAAATTTTTTTTTAATTGTGATTATTTTGTGTATAAATTAAACATTTTGCAGGATCGCAAAAATTTAATTTAAAATTAAATTCGGCAAATCAAAAAAAACTAGGTGTACTGATTAATACACACACAGTATATGTACACACAAATCCAGTAGTCAACATTTGAAGTGGATCAAAACCTTATATAAAAATATAAATTTCTGTAGTATACAAAATATATTGTTATATTTAGTTTTGTGTGTACATATCGTCACCTTAGAATTGTAAGGTTCTATCTGACATTTTTGTCAAAATTGAGTTTTTGACATATTCTTATTAATTGACAACTTATTTACATTATGGGCTGTTTTTTTTTTAAGTTGTTTACATTTTAAGACTTTTTATTTAAAAAAACAAATGTTGCACACATACTGTTTGCTATGGAATGCAAAAACCTTGATGCTCAATATCTCAAAATCATTCAGAACGCAAATAGACCCTTATAATTCCAAGGTGACGATATACAGTTAAAGGAAAAAATATTAGTCCTCCTGTGAAATTTTATTTATTAAATTTTTTTAAATATTTGCAAGTGACAGAGCAAGGGAGTTTTCACAGTATTTCCTATAATATTATTTTAATTTTGGGGAAAGTTTTATTTCTTTGAGTTTAGTTGAAATATTTCAAGAGTTCACACTTAGCTGATGATTGATTATAAGCAAGTTTGGCATGCTGTCCCAGGAGAGAGCCCTGAGCTCAAAGGTCCTTGAGCCCTGGGCTCCCTCCCGTTTGAAGGGCGAGAGGGGAGCCTTGAGCTCAGGTAGATCTGGACAACTCCCCCATGATAAAAACTGATGACTAAAAATTGAATGCTATGAAAAGATATGCTGCAGGGTGAGAGATTAACTGTAGTGCAAAATTTTGATTTATCAATTTACTTGTTGTGCATGTTTTTGGAAAGTGGGAGGAAACCGGAGGACCCGGGGAAAACCCACGCGAGCACGGGAAGAACATGCAAACTACACACAGAAACGACCACTGGCCTGTTAAAGGACTAGAACCGGTGACGTTCTTGCTGTGAGACAACAGTGCTAATCACTGGGCCACTGTGCTGCCCTATGGAGGGAAAGGTGAAGAGGTAGGGGTGGAAGGTGGGCTCTTCAAATCGAAGATGACTGTAGTGAAAAAACCCTGGCTCTTTATAGTGGGTTAGGAATGGCCTGATTGGTGGAACCAGCGGTGTTCAATCACAATCACGTGATCCTCTCGAAATTAGTTTATGAATAAACTTCACTTCAAATAATGATGGTTAATATAATTAGTCACTATAAAAAATATTTGTTTCAGTTTTTAACAGAACAAACGATTGTTTTCCAATAACTTGCCTTATTATATAAAATGTCTAGTTAACATAACTTTAAGCGGAAGCTAGCAGCTTGCAAAATCAGTAAAAAAATATAATGTTCTGTTACTGTTATCTAGTTATTAAAAATCCCTCCATAAAAACAGTAATTGGAAAATATGTATTTTTAAAAGTTTAAACTTCACACGAGTGCTAATAATTTTGACTTCACATACAGTTGAAATCAGAATTATTAACCTTCCTTTGAATGTTTTAAGTTTTTAATTTTTCAAACACCATTTTAAGGTAAAATTTTTTAGCCCCTATAAGCTATATAAATATTTTTGATAGTCTACAGAACAAACCATCGTTATACAATAACTTGTCTAATTACCCTAACCTGCATAGTAAACCTAGTTAACCTAGTCAAGCCTTTAAATGTCAGTTTAAGCTGTGTAGAAGTGTCTTGAAAAATATCTAGTCAAATATTATTTACTGTCATCATGGCAAAGATAAAATAAATCAGTTATTAAATATGAGTTATTAAAACTATTATGTTTAGAAATGTGTAGAAAAAAATCTTCTCTCCGTTAAACAGAAATTGGGTTAAAAAATAAACAGAGGGGCTCATAATTCTGACTTTAACTCTATGTGTGTGTTTTTGTCTATTGTTTTCTTTCATTTCAACTCTTTGTGTCTGTTTGCACTTGATGCCTCCTAAATGAATTTGGATCTCGTCTTCAGGTGTAGATCTGGCTGGTAAAGCCTGGAAAGAGAGTCTGTCTGCCAGCTACAGCAGCTCCACCAGTGGAAACTGGAGTTGGGATGCCAGTGACCAATCAGTGCCCTCCACGCCATCACCGCCGCTCTCCAATGACACGGGCAAGAGCTTCCTGCTGTCCTGCCAGAGCGACGACAACAATGAAGAGAGTGAGAGCACACATTTCCTGTTCGAGGACCCCATCCCTCGCAAACGAAAGGTAAGGGTCAGGTCATATGAGTAAAACACAAAGAGTGGACTATAGTAACCTTAAAACAGCATGCAGTGTTTCACACATACAGTAGAGATCAAGTTTAGAAAATAGCCTTTAAAAAGTCCTAGTGCTTAGTTCTATTTGAAATTATTCTAAACGGAGCAGTTTTAAGCATATTACAAACTGTCATAGTCTGTAAAAAGAATTTAGTTTTTCTTATTTCTTATATATATATTTTCCAAATTATGTTTAACGGAGCAAGTTTTGGTTACAAAACCAGAGGCCATTTTTAGAGTGTAGTTGGTTCATTTAAAAGAGATTTCAAGTATTATCTAGATCAAGGTTAAAATAGTTTAGAATTGTTCATTAGTTTTACTTTTCATTTCAATTCAATCAAATTCAGTTAGTTTTAATTAGTTTTTTTAGAGGGTGATTTACTAGTTTTTATTAATTTTTATATTTTGAAATTGCTTAGTTTTAGTTTAGTTTTTATTAGTTTTAGTATTAGTTTTACTTTTTAGTTTGTTGAGTTTTGTATATTAGGATATTTGTTAGATGTAAGACTGAAAATCATCTGAATAAATATTGTATAATAAAAAATCAACCAAAAGACACAATAACACTGGAATCTACCATTACCATCTACCCATCCTCAAATTCATATACAACAGCCCACAAGATAGCAGCCTTAAGTACAAAACCTGTGCAAGGCTGCTTCTGATGTTTGATACACAGTAGTACACAGGATCTTTAACGCGAACCGGATCTTTTATTAAAATGTTGACAGGTTAGGACTCAACATGTAGTCAGCAATCATAATTTCAGTCAGTTAAAGCATCGCCATGATCTGAAAAGTTTATTAGAGTTACCTTTTGCAACCCAACCGAAGAATGATTCACTTATTTAAATTCCATTAGACTTTCTGTTTTAAAATAAACTTGAGTTTCGCCTGGTCTTCTTATTTAATCTTTCAGTTTACCCGCGCTGCAGTCGGTCAAGATTGATTCAGTCTTAACAGGCTGTCATGTACTGTTTGTGTTTAGTTCACTAATTTGCGCATGCGCAGTATTATTAGTTCACCGCTTCTTGTGTACTGTTCTAATAACTGAATAACTCAGTATATATTGGTTTATTTCAGGACAGAGGAGAGTAATAGGCTTGTAAAATGTAAGTTGTTTGTGGAAAAGTGCTGAATTGTATCAAATGATTCAGTTCGATTTGGTGAATTGGTTCAACCAGTTTACTTAGAAGATCCGGTTAAAAATAACAATTCGTTCACGATCACTAATACAGAAATGAAACCTATTATTGAGCACAAATGAGTTTATACTTTTAAGTGTCTGCTCTGGTTGTATTCAATGCTGTCCCCGTGCTACTGTCTTGTCCGGCCATTGTTTTTGTTGAGGGAGCAACAGCAGGTCTGACCTAAGGAGGTCCGGCTTGATCTGGCCAATGGCATCAGGATTACAGACTTTAAGGTGCAGTAATGGTCAACCACCTGGCAGCGCAAAGTAAATAGATTTACTTCTAAAAGGCTTACAGTAGGTTTATGTATTACATACATTTACAAAAACAAAAATAAAGGACATTTTTGCTTTAATTTTAGTTAGTTTTGTATGTACACAATACAGTTTCAGTTCTTTCAGTTCAGTTTTTAAACTCGTTTTAATTTTTATTTCAGATAACGAAAAGTTTTTTTTCAATTCTAGTTTTTGTTTTTTTATTTGTTTTTGTTAACTATAATAACCTAGAGATCTAGATGTTTTTCTCATGTTTTTCTCAAGTTTTTTATCTGTGAGGCAAGTATTAGCTGAGATTTATGGTTCACAACAAGGAAGCTGCAGAAACACACACGTCTGGATTGAGCCCACTCCCCAGAGAAATATCAGCCTATAGCAATCAGTGATTGGCTCCTTTACTTGAAAGCGAAGCTTCCTTTGCTAGAGCATCCATACTGACCATTAAATTTTTCCTCATTCAAAGCTATACGAGTGACACCACTTGTGTATTCTATAGTTTTTGGTTATAACAGCTAAGAAACATTTCCTGAAAGCTGGTGATACAAAAACAGAAGCCAAAAAATAAAACAAACAAGTAAACAACAGGGTCAGAATGTAGTAACATCTGAAAATGTGGTAAAAATCAGGCTGCCGCGAGGGCTTCTCTTTTTCTTGACTGCTTTTTAAAACTGATGGTTGGGTTTAGGGAGGTGGGTGGTCAGTTCAATCTGTGCTTTTGAAAACACTATTGGTTGGGTTTAGGAAAGAAGGAGGGTGGGTCAGTCATTTAGTCAGTTAGTCAGTCAACAGCGGCCTCGTGAGAAAAATTTGAGATCTCAAAAATCATTCACAATGGCCTCTGGTGGATTCACAAAAACGAAAACATAATATTCACAAAATATTGTACCTCCTGGGACATATTTAGCGCTCTCCAGAAAAATATATAGCGGTACGTTTTCTGAATAAGCCTGGATTGGATGTCCAGGAGAGACTCGGGATATCCGTGGGAAACTTGTGATTTCTGTGAGAGACTCGTGTTGTCTTAGAGACTGTGTTACATAAAAAAAATAAAAACTATTCTAGCAACATTTTAGATCAGTGTGGAATTTCTAAATCTCTATTGAAGGTCTCAGTATGGTTAAAAAACACTGTATCTACTATAAATTACTAGTATATTTTTCTGTGGGTGTCTGATGATGGAAAATATATCTGGTAGCAGATATCTTAACCTCTGTTACTTTTTACCTTGCACGAGTTTGTTAACATTTATTATTATTTATTTAGGATATGCATTTTCACATTCTGACTCCAATGCCTAATTATTTAACTGTTGAAAAGACTATAAATGAAATATTCTTAAAAATAAAATATGATGTGTTCTTTGAAAGAGTTGCATTATGAAGATATTATATTGTCATTCTGGCATTAATGAGTGGCATAACATGGTCTTAAAATGACAACAATATTGTTTAGAGCAATATATTTTGGTGCAATATATAAAAAAATAGATATCATGCTAGGCCTACTGTATGGTATACGTTCCATGATGTGTTGATATGTTATTTCTGATACTTTATTTCTGCACATTAGGGTAATAGCATCACAGTTCAATAAACTCACCCATGTTCCTTTAGTCAGTTTAGAAGTCTATTAAACTCATCAACACAAGTACAATGAGTCTTGCCACTTTTGTGCATCAGAAAGTGATGGACTGTTCTCTTCTTTTTTTTTTCACTTCAAAAAAATGCTTTTCTTTCTTTGATTTTTGGTCTTGTTTCTAGTCCAAATAGCTAAAGATTCTTAAACTAAGAAGCATTTTCTAGTCAAGAGAAAATATGGTCTTGTTTTAAGAAATGATGTGCCAAAATTCAGTAAGTTTTTACCTTAAAACATGCAATATAATCCACCAATGGGGTGAGCAAAACAATCTTATGTCAAAACTAAATGTGTGTGCGTGCATGCTTGGGTGCGTGTGTGTGTGTGCATGCATGTGTGTGCTCTTACAGATCTACTCAGGTTTATGCTTTCACAGCGATACACGTCACACGCAGTAATACATGTTTTCCACACTGTTCCCCAGTGCAGGATTTTGTAAACATGGATTCTGTCAGGACTGCACGCCTCTCTTTAAAGAAAAGGAGAAGAGTGAAAAAATGTTTATTCAGATGTTTTTTGATTCAGAATATTTCTCAACTCTGATGCAATATGTGCAACTCCAGATACTGGACGGGGAAAGTCATTGGATGGAAAAAGCTTCCTTAAGTGATTTCAGACACAGTTGAAGTCAGAATTATTAGCCCCCCTAAATTATTAGCCCCCTGTTTATTTTTCCCCCCAATTTCTATTTAACGGAGAGAAGATTTTTTTTTCAACAGATTTCTATACGTAATAGTTTTAAATAATAACTCATAATAATTGAACTGAATTGAATTAACTGATTTCTTTGATCTTTGCCGTGATGACAGTAAATTATATTTGACTAGATATTTTTCAAGACACTTTTATACAGCTTAAAGTGACATTTAAAGGCTTAACTAGGTTAATTAGGTTAACTAGGCAGGTTAGGGTAATTAGGCAAGTTATTGTATAACAATGGTTTGTTCTGTAAAAAAAAAATTAACTTAAAGGGGTTATTAATTTTGACCTTAAAATGATTTTTTAAAAAATTTAAAACTGCTTTTATTTTAGCCGAAATAAAACAAATAAGAAAAGAAGAAGAAAAGATATACTCAGACATACTTTAAAGATTTCCTTGCTCTGTTAAACATCATTTGGGAAATATTTAAATAAAAGAAAAAAAATCCAAGTGAGGCTATTAATTCTGACTTCAACTGTATACAAAGGTTTATGTTTTGCAGTACGACTTGATCTGTTTGTTGTATATTATGTAGATTTTTCTGCTACCCAAGACTTATTTATTTGATCAAAATTACAGAAATTATATATATATATATATATATATATATATATATAATTTTTTTTTTTAGACTAAAATATTATTTTGATAAGTACATCTGTTTAATAAATCAGTTTTGTTCAAATGCACCACATAAATGACATATATTCAGTGAAAAATGGATAAAAATATTCATGAAATGCACTTTACTTCTGTGATGCAAAGTTAAATTTTCAGCATCAATGCTCTAGTCTAGTCAGTGTCACGTGGTCCTTCAGAAGAAAGCATTATAATATTATGATCTAGTGCTAATTATTATTACTTACACTCCAAAAATATAACGTTTTTCTTGCTTGTTCAAACTACTTAGCTAATCGAGCTGAAACAACACAATTGTTGAGATTTTTATTCATTGTTTTATGTTCAATCCACTTAAATTAAGGTAACTTAAGTTTACTCAGGGTTTGTGTTGGGGCAACATGAATGAATGGTGTGGAACCCTGCATACACTGTATTATTAGTGTTGTACTGCTTATATTTTTGTGGACACTGATATATATATATATATATATTCAGGATTTTTTTGAAGAACAAAAAGTTCAGTGTACAGC